GTTCTATCACAGTGCTTAGTTCAGATGGAAAAGGCATTAAGATATTGTGTGTGTGTGTGAGAGGCCACATTCACATCTTTATAATGCTATATTGTTATAACTGTCTTATGTTATCATTAGTTGTTAATCCTGTATTGTGCCTCATTTATAAATTAAGCTTTATCACAGATATATAGAGTAGGTATAGGTAAAAAGCTTTTGAATTGTGATGCTGGAGAAGACTTCAAAACTATGGTTTTTCCAGTAGTCATGTATGGATGTGAGAGGTGGACTATAAAGAAAGCTGAGCACCAAAGAATTGATGCTTTTGAAGTGTGGTATTGGAGAAGACTCTTGAGAGTCCCTTGGACTGCAAGGAAATCCAACCAGTCCATCCTAAAGGAAATCAGTCCTGCATATTCATTGGAAGGACTGATGCTAAAGCTGAAACTCCTTTGGCCACATCATTTGGCCACCTGATATGAAGAACTGACTCATTGGAAAAGCCCCTGATGCTGGGAAAGATTGAGAGCAGGAGGAGAAGGGGAATGACAGATGATGAAATGGTTGGATGGCATCACCGACTCAATGGACATGAGTTTGGGTAAATTCTGAGAGTTGGTGATGGACAGGGAGGCCTGGTGTGCTGCAGTCCGTGGGGTTGGAACGAGTTGGACATGACTGAGTGACTGAACTGAACTGAGAAGACTCCTGAGAGTTCCTTGGACTGCAAGGAGATCAAACCAGTCAATCCTAAAGGAAATTAACCCTGAATTAACCTTTCACTGGAAGGACTGATGCTGAAGTTGAAGCTCCAATACTTTGGCCTTGTGATGCAAAGAGCCGACTCATTGGAAAAGATCTGATGCTGGGAAAGATTGAAGGCAAAAGGAGAAGAGGGTGGTAGAGGGTAAGGTGGTTGGATGGCATCACTGACTCAATGGACATGAATTTGAGCAAATTCCGGGAGATAGTAGGACAGGGAAGCCTGGCGTGCCACAGTCCATGGGGTTTCAAAGAATCAGATGTGACTTAGCAACTGAACAACATAGGGAAAAGCATAGTACATATAGGGTTCAGTACTATCCATGATTTCAGCCATCCATTGGGGGTCTTGGAACATATCCCTGAGGCTAAGGGGGATTTGTGTATTAGCTGAATTGTAACCTTTTATAAGCTTCTATGTACCACTAAAGATCATGATTAGTTTGGGGCCTGGGATAGTTCTAGATCACTTTTACTAAGTATGTTGATGGTGCAGGGGATGTTTGTGAGTATAACATTGCAGATACCTTTGAATTTACTAATTATAAATAATTTTCTCAACATTTCAAGATAGCTAAGTATATCTTGAAAAGTACATTTTCACTTCACCTGTAAATGAAAATAAAAAGGGTTTTTAATTAACATAGTTGCTTTTTGGTTCTCTTCTGTTTTGCTTTTCCTCTCCATCCACCACCCCTTGGAAAATTCTTGATCAGGATCCAGATAATCTAGAACTGAATCCAGACTCTGTGGTTATTGAGCTGGTGACCTTGGTCAAGATAAATTATCTGATTCTCATCAGTTAAATGGGGATAATGATGCCTCTATGGAAGAATTGATTTCAGATTAGATGTTGTCTACAAGAAACAGTGTGGTCTACACAGGTGCTCAGTGGTAGAAACCCTATTGTTGTTATTTTCTATGAATTAGAACAGTGTTCCTATTTTTTATCCTTTTCCTATTTTTCAAAAATTTTGAATACATATTTATAAATAAGTATAAAAATAAGACATAGGTTCGCTGAATTAACATTTTATGTTCAATATAAACAAAATTTAAAAATTTAAATGATATAAAGTTGACATTAACATTTTTTCTAAAATAGTAATAGGAATTAATAGTTTTTTTCCTTTAATTGGTTTTATAACTGTGATGTGATTAAATACATATCATTTTATATAGTCTTGAGTTACTCATTTGAAGATATGCCTCTCTGTTGTTTTTCATTCATTTTGACACTTGACTTTATTGGCTATCACAGTTGAAAAATATTACCTCACATATAACAAACTAGATAAAAGTGTATTTCCAAATGAATCATGATGTTAATTTTTCAGCTTTATTGACCAGAAATGCAAAGGTTTTTGATAAAATGTAGTAAATTTCTATCATCTCTGAGTCAGTTTTATTTGCAAAGTGGTTTTTGATAAAATGTAGTAAATTTCTATCATCTCTGAGTCAGTTTTATTTGCAAAGTAATTGATTAATGACCCATTTCAATATTATAAAATAAGTCCAAAATCCATTGAAACTCTATATTTATCAATTTACTACATATATTTTAAAACTATGTTTCCAAGTTGTAGAAGTATATAGATATGTAAATTCTTGTGAGATTATGCACATATCAATTTTGGCAATAAAATTACATAATGATTGGAATATTTCCAAACATTTGTTTGCAAACTACTCTTATATTAGCACAAGATTTGTTCTAAAGTAGTAACTTTCTCATTCATCATAAATGAACTGACAATACCAAGTATCAGGTAAAAATGTTGAGCATCCTGACATGTGACGGTCGTATAGTGCAACCTCAATCAAAACATTGGTTATTAATAAATTCTAATTATTTCTCACTGCTAGAGTGAATAAACGTCAGCTTAAATATTTTTGTTTTCTTTCCCCACCTCAAGGATAGTCTCATGTCCCTTCCCTACACTCAAATGTGGAATAAGTTGCACATTAGGCCACCGTGATTATCAGTAGGATATTTGATCCATCAGTTCCCAGAGGAAAATGGATACTGATGATTTGGAGTTGACAGGATTTTCTTAAAGGGCCAGATAATATTTTAGGCGTTGAGGGCCACATGGCCTCTAACACAGCTACTCAACCCTGCCAATGTAACCTGGAAACACCATAGACGATATGTGAAAAAGAAAGAAAAATTAAAATTAAAAAGACTTTTTTTTTTAATTTAAAAGTTTGAAAAAACTTTCAAAAATTAAAAGTCTGATTTCAGTAAAACTTTACGTACAGACACTGACTGACTTTGATTTTTATGTAACTTTCATATGGCATAAAATAGTGTTCTGCTTTGGATTTCTTTTCAGCTGTTTAAAACAAATTTTAAATAGCTTATGGTCCATCCCAGAAAAAGCAGCAAGATGAATTTTTCTCAGGTCTTAGCTTGCAGATCCCTTACTTAGATGATAATGACCTTGTAGAGAATCTCAGCCTGAAATTCCACAGTCACGTACATTATTCCAGTAAACTGTCAAATTACAAGGGTGTTTGCTTTTATTGTCCCTTTAAGAAATACTAAATACGAAAATTTAATAGCAAAGACTTTCTTCCCTCTCTGACATAATATTAACTGATAGAAGTTCTAATACAAGGAGTGAAAGTATTAGTCACTGTGTCGTGTCCAACTCTTTGTGATGGACTGTACCCCACCAGGCACCTCTGTCCATGGAATTCTCCGGGCAAGAATGCTGGAGTAGGTAAGCATTCCCTTCTCCAGGGCATCTTCCTGACCCAGGAATTGGACCCGGGTCTCCTGCATTGCAGGCAGATTCTTTACTGTCTGAGTCACCAGGAGGTAGGCTTACAAATTATTTGAGGCTGGATCATCAGTAGCTGCAATGTCAGTAAAAGCCACAGTGCTTTTCTGCATGATCTTGTTCTCATTTGATTTAAAAAAAAAAAAAAAGATTAACTTTATCTTGGAAAGACTGACATAACCAAAGCAGTGGAAAATATACTTCTTTGGGGTCCAGTGGCAAAATTTCTGTGACTCCTTCCTGGGTTTCTGTGGGTCCTGACACATGAAGGAGTGTGTGTTCAGTGGTGTTCTAGAAAGTCAGAGGAGCAATTAACTGCTCCTAACAGCACAGCATTTTGGAGGCAGGTTTCCAAGTTTGGTTCTCCTCAACTGCCAGCAAGAGATGCAACTGGCACATCTTTCACCTGACTACTGAACTCTCTCTCTCGTTCTTCCGTCATCCAAAACCAGTTGTCTTTCCTGTGATCAGTTGTACATACAGTTTCAAAATTCTCATTTACGTTTAGGCCAAACAGTGCACAAAATCATGCAAAAAGGTAAATTTATGGAATGACTTGATCCTGTTGTATGCCTCCCAGCCATCCAGCCCCAAGTCAGGGGATCTCTCAGCCACAGCAGTACAAAAAGAGGATGAGGGCCAGGCATTTCCTATCAAGGTAAAATCTGTCCTGCAGCATCACTCACCTTGGCTCCATCCCCAAGAACATCTCCTGCATTCTGTGCTTCATCCTAGAATCAGTGCTTTACAACTAACCTTGCCCTCTCCCTCTATTTAGGGTGTGTACAGGGTTGAATTAGGATACCTGAAATAAGATAAGTATAAACAGGAGGAGAAATCCAAGAAAAAACCAAAGTTGGGCTTGCATCTAAACTCCACTCCTCATTATAGATGGAAATAGACACTTAGTGAGCACCTGCTCTGTGTTGGAAAATTCACATAAAGTCTTTTGGTTGTTAAAATAAACAAGAAGAGATGAAGGAACAAAAAGTGCCTCTTATTTAGCTGATACACAGCGGGAAAGAAAAGCAATTAAGGAGACAAGGGTGTTTTTTTAAATAGGGCTTTGTTTCTCATTTTATGCAAGAGATCACATTGACTTTGTTGAACATTTGATTCCATAACAGCAGCAAACTCTGCACGCGTGCTCAGGTGTTTGATGTGAGTGCTTCAAGCAACGTGGTAGTCTACACTCAACCTGAAACAGTATGCTGCATACTGGTTGTGACTCCGGAAAGCAGGGCGTCAGTTCTGTTTTCCAGAAAGCAAAGAGGTCACAGTTGCTTCTGAGCCATGAGTTGCAAAACCACCAAGTGGAAGAGAGGAACAACTCTTTAACTGTGGTTCTACTTAGTGAACCTCTGAGCAGTCATCGGAATGTGATCATTTGTTGGACAACTTAAACAGTAATCAGAAAAGATGTGCTTCTAACATAGCCTCCTCATGTGTTTGTCTTTCCTTGTGATTCAGGAGAAAGGATGCTGGTTTCTTATCCTACAAAGATCACCTGCCAGTCAGCCAGGTGGTTGTTGGAGATACCGACCGGCAAGGCTCAGAAGCCAAACTGAGTGTGGGTCCCCTGCGCTGCCAAGGAGACCGTAAGTGTGCCTACAGTGGTGGCTTGCACCTTCTTATCAATTTTAAATAGTGTTTCCCAGCAAATCAGAGGTTGGTAGAAAAACAGATTGCTCTTTGGTATAAACAGAGCCAAAGAGAGGGCTGCTGCTGCTGCTGCTAAGTCGCTTCAGTCGTGTCCGACTCTGTGCGACCCCATAGACGGCAGCCCACCAGTCTCCTCCATCCCTGGAATTCTCCAGGCAAGAACACTGGAGTGGGTTACCATTTCCTTCTCCAATACATGAAAGTGAAAAGTGAAAGTGAAGTCGCTCAGTTGTGTCCGACTCTTCACGACCCCATGAACTGCAGCCCACCAGGCTTCTCTGTCCATGGGATTTTCCAGGCAAGAGTACTGGAGTGGGTTGCCATTGCCTTCTCTGAGATAGAGGGCTAGGTAGACCTTAATACATAGAGGAGGGTGACAGCTATAACGTCTCCAGTATAGGAGACTAGATCTGGGCATAAAGTGTGGACATTCATCTTTCTTGTATATTTGTAGGTAACGACTGTGACTACCTAAGTTGATGGTGATATGAGTAGCAATGCTAATGGCATAAACAGCACTCGACAGCTGTGATTCCACTGAGAGCTGCTGTTAATGCCATTAGCATGACTATTTATATCACCATAAACTCAGTTTATGGTGATATAAATAGTCACATTATGGCTTAATGTATCATTGTAAACTCAGATTATGGTCATATAAAGTTTGACATTATTGCTATCAAGTTTCATCATCATCAGAGCTTGATGGTCCCTTGTAAGCCAAAGAGTGTTTCTGTAACTACATCTTGCTTTCAAGTTTCGGCACCACAGAGAGGAATTTGGGGCTGCAGGAAGTCAGGGAGTGAGAGCAATGATCCCACCTAATTAAGGGTACCTTTAGGATTTTATGCTTTGCAATACCCTCCAGTGTACTTTATGTGCCGTCAGAGGGAGACGGTGCCAGGTTGCTATGGGGATTCTGTGATGAGCATCCTGGGTCTCATTTCCCCTCTTTTGTCTGTACACGTGATTTGGGCAACTCTTCCGGGAGTTCTGTGCTTTTGCGATTGTGTTCAGGGCATCAGGAGACCTGAATTCTGTTCCCTGGGTAACTGACTTGCCTGAGGCCTCAGGCAGATCTCCCTGTTTTTCTCAGCTGTGGTGCTGAGAATACCACCCACATCCCAACTTCTCCTGAGGAGGCCATAAAGATTTTAGTGCCCGGATCTGGATTCCTCCTAGCGAAGCATTCTGTGAGATGGACTGTTATTACCGATTCCATAAATCAAGAGAGAATTAGACCTATTCGATGTAATAAGTTATTGCATCCACTCAAGGAGGTGTCCCAAGGAATGTAACGATCCATGCTCAGCTGCTTACTGCTTACTACATCGAGGCTGTCGGCAATTAAACCACACGATGTTCCAGATACAAAGGAGAGATGGAGCCTGTTCTGATTTTTCTCTTCTTACATACAGAAAATGCACTATCCTTAAAATTAAATTGGTCAAAAGAACTTTATCATGCATTTACTAGACAATAATCCTTCTTTTGTCTAGTCAAGTTTAACAGAACTGTATGATAAGAAATTAGTTTTGACTGCTTAAGTAAAAGATATTGACAGAAGATAATGTAGGTGCATTTTTAAACATATTTTGGGAGATGGTTTATAGCGTCATGCTCAAAATAGGCAGGTTCTCATGTGCTGGCCAATGAAAATCAGTTTCTTTCTGTCATAATTACTCATTCATATATAAAGGTAAAATATTTCTCATTTATCAATTCTAATTATGAAGTTACCTTTGAATTAGATAGGGGTTCCCTTTAAATAATGGATTAACTCAATATAGTTATGAAATCCAACTTCTGCAGATTTTTGTTACCATTCTTAAAGAAAAGATTCCAGCTACATTAAATAGTATATGTGGGAGCATATTAACAGTTTGTAGCTAACATTATCATGTTTTCTCATACTAAATCAGTCCTCAGGAAGAATTTATTAGGTGTCTGCTATTTGTCTAGCACTTTACTAGGTGTTCTGTGAATTTAAAAAAAAAAAAAAGTTCAAGTAATGTTTTGTGAAAAGCACATACAAAAGTTTTGGAAAACACACAATGTTTGATAATCTAATAGATTTGTGATGTAAAAGTACTGCAGCTGATGCTCAAGAAGGAAGTGATATGTTTCAGGAAGACTTTATATTTTAAAAGGGAAAATAGGAGAAGTCTGGTGGTCAGTGTTCATTTGCATTTTTCTCCCAAGGCTGTTGCTCTTAGAAACATTCTTAGGACGTTTGATAGACAAAGAGCTGTCCTGTTCACTGACACTGTATGGCCTCCAGCTTCTTGTAGGACTGCAGCTTTACCAGTACTTCTTAATCCATATTTTACCTGATATTTCATGCAAACAAAAGCACAGTGAATCTTTAATTGCAATTACGTGGAATATTTTTGTGTCCGAGAGAGAGAGCAATCTTTGGTTTTTGCAGGCAACTGGCAATATTCCATACCTCCTACCTGAACTGCCAGATAGCAGTTAGCAATTTTGATGCCCACCTTCTTTTTCAGAATGTTCTAACATGGACACAGTAAAATGCCCACATCATAGCATTTCCCAAGTTTTACACATGTGTGGTTTCCTTGGATACAGCCCCCTGTGAGCTGGGTAAGGAAAATATTAGCCTTTATGTTTTACAAATGAACAAAATATTTCTTTGAAAGTGTCATTTAAGCAAGAAACTTCTGTGCCCCCTCGTGAGGCTCCCAGAGGAAAGACAGAGCCGAGAATATACTTTACTTCCTCTGCACAAGGTCAGCCTTGTTTCCTTGTCTCTATTTGCAGCTCTAAGTCTACAGCAGAAATTAAATTGTTTAAAATATATGTCATCTGGGTCTCTCCCCACCCTCATCCAGTTACCAATACTGCGCGAAAGTTGGGGGAATTACATTCTAGTTTGTATAACTTGAAAAGTGACATCGTACATATATCCTCTTGTTTGTAGAGATTAACTCTGTGTCATTTACTGAAGTCTGTGCCAAGCTACAGCTTAAAAAACCAAATCTGCTACTGAGGAATGTCTTTCTCTATTTGAGGACTTGAATGATGACAGAAGCTGTCTCTTGAATTAGGTCTGGTCCTATCCCCACAGTCTCAGAGAATGAAACAATTTTTGTGGGCTCTGACCAACCGTTTCGGCGGCTTCAGTTGATTTCATCATGCCTGCTGAGTTTCATTTTTACTTTGATTCATCTGAACTCATAGACCCATATAATCAAAATGCTAAGAAAAATCAGTGAATTTCAGAATCTGCTGCATTTCCCATATAGCACTATAAAATGCTGATGCCCTCAGATTTTGGTGTCTTATTCAAACACATTCAAATGGAAACCTTAAATCTAAATGAAACTGGAAGTGTGACTGAGGACAGATGGTTAGCTAAGATAAAAAGTAGCATATAATTACGCATCTTCCCCCCCACCCTAAATCACACATACTCACCTAGGAGAAACAATGGAGTTATTTAGAGGATCGAAAGGGCTGATAGAGTAAAAATTGTTTTCAAATTTAAATATATAATTATTCTTGCAGGAGGTTGCTGAGCTTCTGTGGAATTAGTTCAAAAACAAATTATGTCAGATTTGGGGGGTAGAAATCCTTTTTGTAACTATATATAGTGACTATAATTAGTTGTAGAAGGAAAGTACTTGCTAGATAATTGTCTTATTCCCAACCATATGAGGCAAAGAGTCCCCATATCTCCTATAGGGATACAGGGACTTTAAACAATTAATTAAGAGCAAGTTTATTACAAAAGCAAGTGTTTTGAATACACCTGGGTAGAAACAGTCAGGAGAACATGCTACTCAAGGACCTCTGCGTGCTAAGTCATTTCAGTCTTGTCTCACTCTTTGAGCCTCTATGGACTATAACCCACCAGGCTCCTCTGTCCACAGGATTCTCCAGGCAAGAATACTCGAGTGGATTGCCATTTCCTCCTCCAGGGGATCTTCCCACTACAGGGATCGAACCTGCATCTCTTGTGTCTCCTGCATTGGCAGGCAAGTTCTTTACCACTAGCGCCACCTGGGAAGCCCCAAGGACCTCTGAGTCCGGGCCAGAAACCCACCTGGCTTGTCAGCATGGCAGGCAGAGCACTGTAGTCACGGTGGACGTTCACGATGTCAGTTCAGGTTCTTAGAGCTGCAGACGTGACTCTGAGAGACCAAGAAGAAAAGGTAAGGCAGACGCCATCCTGTTTAGGGACACTCCAAGGGCAGAGACAACAAAAGAAATAAAGATGATGATGGAGCTTTATCCAAATGACAGTGGACACGTGTTCTTTGGGAATGCAATCCTGTGTGCCAGAGATGTGTAAAGGCCACCCTCTCCTGTAAGATGTTTACAAACCAGGGCCTTCCCTTACCAAGAAGGACAGAGCAAGGACGGTATCTAGCATGTTGTTTCTCCAAAGATAAGACACTCGGTGGGGGGTTCAAATGAGTATCATTCCCCATAAGAGGGCCCCAGGGGCTCAGACAGGCCCTTGCCTTTGCTGTTTCAGGCTTGGAAGAGACAAGAAAGTGAAAGGGCCCAGCACGCAGCGATGCTGGTGGTTTAAAAGCTCAGTCGTGTAGTTGCGACCCCATGGACCGTAGCCCACCAGGCTCCTCTGTCCCTGGGATTTTCTAGGCAAGAATACTGGAGCGGGTAGCCATTTCCTGCTCCTGCAATCTTCTCAACCCAAGGATCGAAACTGCATCTCCTGCATTAGCAGGTGGATTCTTTACTGCTGAGCCGTCAGTGAAGCCCCTATGCAGGCTGTGAACAAGCACTTTATGTTCATTTTCTCTCGATTCTGCCAGCACCCTGTATGTGGTGATATCTTTGTGTTTTGTACCAAGGAGAAAATAGAATCAGAATCATTGTGTGGTTTGCCATTAAGAGCTGGAGCCAGGAGATCTGGGTGGTTCCAGAACAAATTCTAGAATGGATTACA